AGAGGTATATATACATCTCTATATTCAATGAAATATATACACCTCTAAATTTATACCAAAATATGTGTACAACTATATATATAAAGACTGAGATATATACTGCTGTACACTTATCTCTGTAATAAAACAAATGCATCTGCATATATACACTGAGAAAAATGCACCTCGACATCTGCAACCACAAATAGGTAAAGTATATACACTGAGATCAATTTAAGTTCTCTGAAAGCTGGTGAGCCTTAAACCAAGAAAAAAATACTTTTGTGACGTTAATATGTAATGCTCCCACATTTGGCTGTAATATAAAAGCTTAGATAAGAAAAAGCCTGATAGCACAGATACAGAACAGATAAAACGTGATATTACTGCCAAAATGTGTGCCTTAGGATGTAGGATGGTAGGTGCAGCTTCTTCCAGGATTGTGGAAAGAGGAACTAATACTCTTTGTGTAGAGCTTAATTAATCTCTGCCTGGAGCTTTGTCAAGCTCTTTTTGTGTGTTTGTTTACAGGGCTGGAATGAAGGTATGTCCTGCAGGAAGGTTGTGTACACCTTCCCCAGCTCGCGATGTTCCACTGCTGATGACTACATACCTCCCGCCTCTGATTAGATAAACAAGATTGTGTCTGTTTGTGTAACCTAACAATCTCTGACGATAGTGATAAGTAGAAAATAATCTGGAAGTATTTATACTGGCTTTATCCACTTCCTTTAAATCAATAGAAATAACAATAATAATAATTATAATAATAATAATAATAATAATAATAATAATAATAATTGTAACAACGATAAAACTATCAACAAAAGCCTCAAACAACATTATGAGCTGCAATAACAATAAACAACAATGAAGAAAACGACAATGACGGCGACAACAACAACAATTATGAAAATAACAACAACAACTACTACTACAAAAACAACAATAACAATATACCAGTTAGGTTAGGATAGTCTAACTTAGGTTAGGTTAAGCTAGATAAACTTATATTTACTGCTACTTACTTATAATTAAGTGACACTAGCGGGGAAATAAACCAACGTCTTACGTCTGGCAGCGCGGGACGTGTGGTACAATCTTAGAACGTACGTTTCCTCCCAAACTAAAAAAAAAAAAAATTGGAGGAAGGGCTGGTGCATCGTCAGCCCTGGGCTGACGATGCACCAGCTCTAGGCTGCTGCCTCACTTGTCCAGGATTTCTTGTCCAGCTGCTGAATGAATTAGTGTTTGAGACGATCGATCGTCACCCCAACAAGTTTGTCAGTCCAAAGATTTTGTGAACCCAGCTAGTTCGTGAACCCACCGTGTTCGTGAACGCAGTGCGTTCATAATCCCCATGTGTTCGTGATCGAAATAAGTTCGTGAATGTAACAAATGCACGAATTCATCAAGTTCATGAATCTAGCAAGTTCGTGAACTTAACACGTTCGTGTACCCAACCATTACTCTTTCCCTGTACTTCTGTACCCGGTAGACCGAATTACCTGCGGAAGGCCTTGGTCATATGACCAAAAGCTCCATTTAGTGGGTCAAGAGTGTCGGGGTGAACTTTTCAGTTGGTCTTGTGCAATAAAATTCCACCAAGACCAATCAGCCTGGGAGCTGAGGTCAGTGTATGAACCACAGGATCGTAACAGCTTGGCCCAGCATCCTGAAGTCGCTGTCAGAGTTGCAGCTGGAACACTGAGGTGTTCTGGAACAGGTCAAGGCGTAGTTCGTGACTCAGGTAGCGGAGTTAGCTAGGTAGGCACCACCACCACCAGTACTTCAAGCTTGGCTATCACCTTGAATCTCAGCCTCGTCACTACCACAATTGCTACTTTACCATCGTTACCACTTCTACTCCTCCTCCTCCTCCTCCTCCTCCTCCTACTCCTTCTTCCTCCTCCTCCTCCTCCTCTAACAAACTCGTCACGGTGCAGGACGGAGCGAAACATCGTTTAAAGATTTATCTCCAACCTGTAGGTCACTTTTGATTTGTTGTGGCTATTGTTCCATCACTGATTGTTCCATCGCTGTTTGTTCCATTACAGATTGTTCCATTACAGATTGTTCCATCACTGAGTGTTCCATCACTGATCGTTCAATGACTGTTCCATTACTGATTGTTCCATTATAGATTGTTCAATCACTGATCATTCCATCACAGTTTGTTCCATCACTGATCGTTCTATCACTGTTTGTTCCATCACTGTTTGTTCCAGAAATGATTTTGCACCAGAAATGATTGTGCCCTCACTGATTGTATCAGAACTATTTGTTCCATCACTGAAAGTACCAGACTGATCCATCACTGATTGTTCTGTCAATGATTGTTCCAGCATTGTTCCATCACTGTTCCACACTGCTATTTTTGTTGTACTTAGTTGTTATTAAGCTTCGTGTTGTCGTCTTTGTACTCTATTTTTGCTTGTAGTTAATGTGGTTGTTAAACCCAGTTAACTACTACTACTGTTGTTGTTGTTGTTGTTGTTGTTGTTGTTGTTGTTGTTGTTGTTGTTGGTGTAGTTGGTGTAGTTGATGCATTCTGTCAACTGTTGTTGTGCACTACTTGCTGTTGTTATTATCATTGATGTCTCAATTTTACATTCAGACTTTGTCTTCCTGGCAACTATAACACTCGGATTTTGTCTTCATGGCGACTATTACACTCGGACTTTGTCTTCCTGGCGAATATAACAATCAGACTTTGTCTTCCTGGCAACTATAACACTCGGATTTTGTCTTCCTGGCGACTATAACAATCAGACTTTGTCTTCCTGGCGACTATAACACTCGGACTTTCTCTTTCTGGCGACTATAACAGATTTTGTCTTCCTGGCGACTATAATACTCGGACTTTGTCTTCCTGGCGACTATAATACTCGGACTTTGTCTTCCTGGCGACTATAATACTCGGACTTTGTCTTCCTGGCGACTATAACAGATTTTGTCTTCCTGGCGACTATAATACTCGGACTTTGTCTTCCTGGCGACTATAATACTCGGACTTTGTCTTCCTGGCGACTATAACAGATTTTGTCTTCCTGGCGACTATAATACTCGGACTTTGTCTTCCTGGCGACTATAACAGATTTTGTCTTCCTGGCGACTATAACAATCAGACTTTGTCTTCCTGGCGACTATAACACTCGGACTTTCTCTTTCTGGCGACTATAACAGATTTTGTCTTCCTGGCGACTATAATACTCGGACTTTGTCTTCCTGGCGACTATAACAATCAGACTTTGTCTTCATGGCGACTATAACAATCAGACTTTGTCTTCATGGCGACTACGACAATCAGACCTTTTCTTCCTGGCGACTATAACAATCAGACTTTGTCTTCCTGGTGACTATAACACTCGGACTTTGTCTTCCTGGCGACTGTAACAATCAGACTTTCTCTTCCTGGTGACTATAACACTCGGACTTTGTCTTCCTGGAGACTATAACACTCGGACTTTGTCTTCCTGGCAACTATAACAGTCAGACAGTCTTCCTGGCGACTATAATATTCGGACTTTGTTTTTCTACCAACTATAACAATCGAATTTTGTCTTCCTAACAACTATAACAATCGGACTTTGTCTTCGTAGTAATTATAACAATCAGACTTTGTCTTCCTAGCAATTATAACAATCAGAATTTGTCTTATTAGCAATTATAACAATCAGAATTTGTCTTCCTAGCAATTATAGTAATCAGACTTTGTCTCCTAGCAATTATAACACTTTGTCTTCCTAGCAATTATACCAGATTTTGTCTTCCTAGCAATTATAGCAATCAAGCTTTGTCTTCCTGGCGATTATAATAATCAGACTGTCTTCCTAGTAAATATAACAATAAGACTTTGTCTTCCTAGCAGTTATAACAATCAGATTTTGTCTTCCTGGTGACTATAAAAATCAGACTACATCAAGTCTTTATGGTGACCAGGTTCAGAGGGCTACATCAAGTCTTTATGGTGACCAGGTTCAGAGGGCTACATCAAGTCTTTATGGTGACCAGGTTCAGAGGGCAGCATCAAGTCTTTATGGTGACCAGGTTCAGAGGGCTACATCAAGTCTTTATGGTGACCAGGTTCAGAGGGCTACATCAAGTCTTTATGGTGATCAGGTTCAGAGGGCTACATCAGGTCTTTATGGTCACCAGGTTCAGAGGGCAGCATCAAGTCTTTATGGTGACCAGGTTCAGAGGGCTACATCAAGTCTTTTTTGGTGACCAGGTTCAGAGGGCTACATCAAGTCTTTATGGTGACCAGGTTCAGAGGGCAACATCAAGTCTTTATGGTGACCAGGTTCAGAGGGCTACATCAAGTCTTTATGGTGACCAGGTTCAGAGGGCTACATCAAGTCTTTATGGCGACCAGGTTCAGAGGGCTACATCGTCTTTATGGTGACCAGGTTCAGAGGGCAACATCAAGTCTTTATGGTGACCAGGTTCAGAGGGCTACATCAAGTCTTTATGGTGACCAGGTTCAGAGGGCAACATCAAGTCTTTATGGTGACCAGGTTCAGAGGGCTACATCAAGTCTTTATGGTGGTCGACCAGGTTCAGAGGGCTACATCAAGTCTTTATGGTGGTCGACCAGGTTCAGAGGGCTACATCAAGTCTTTATGGTGACCAGGTTCAGAGGACTACATCAAGTCTTTATGGTGACCAGGTTCAGAAGGCTACATCAATACTAAATGTTGACCAGTCTCTGGGAACTACTCTATATCTTAATGGAAACTAGACTCGGGTGATCACCTCAAACCCTACATGTGACCAGACTGAGGCGACCACTCCTAGTCTTGCAGGTAACCAGACTGAAGTGACCACCCCGAGTCAGCGAAGAACGAGGCATGTTCATGAGAACAGTAGTGTGAAAGTGTCAACAAAGTTAGGAGAACATTAGTAAAATGAATCACAATACAAATAATAAAAATTAAAATCACTCTGGGCCTGCCAAATAGTTAGAAGGACCCGTGGAAAAAAGGCTTAAGTAAATGAAAGAGAAATGGCATCTGGCATACCTGTCAAAGTTCACTTGCCTCTCTCCCTTATCTGAAGTTTCACCTTATCTTCTCCCGGGAATAAAAAAAAATTTCACCGCACACTTTGGATCAAGATTTCAGTTTTCTTTTGTGTGAAAACATTACTGTGATTTTTTTCCCCTCACTGTAAATTCCTTATGAAGTGAGTACACCGCGAGCAGTGTATGGAGGAGCCCGAGACGCAGACGTCACTGTTACAGAGCGCGAGCAGCCACTGCTCCCTCTTACCACGACAAGTCCCTCAACTACTTTCTCCTAAGATGCCGATTAGTCACTTTCGTCTCCACCAGCAATGACTTCTTGTGAATAATCAGTAGTGTGGATCATCGTATGTCCGCCGTGCTACTGAGGCAGTTTCTGGGGATAAAACAAGTGGAAAGTAGCAAGTATTTTGTTTACAAAGCCCCACTGGAGGTTTTGAGTTCGAGATAGCAGGGTTTTCAGGTGACGTCAGGGTTCAAGTTAGTGGTGGGAGGTGATGTAAAGGTGATCAACATCACACACACACACATCAACAGGGACGGACCTAGCTGTTACCCCGTTGAAGTCTGTATGCTGTTCAGTGCTCATGTCTGGAATGCAAAACACTGTGTATAACAAGAGACCATAAGACAACAGCACCCCAAGAAAAGACAGGTGGCACCAGCTGGTCCTGGAACCTTGCGGAAACCTTTTTCTCCTCTTCCTCCTCCTCCTCCTCATCTTTCTCATTCCACTTCCCCAGACTGAAAAACCTCACTAACCTTCAGTCAACACAACCTCACCCTAAGTTGTTCTTGGGTCGTCACCTTATTTCTGTTTTTCCTCCTCCTCTCCGGTGTATTCTACTGTTCTAAGCCTTCACTGGAACACCAAGAGCCTGATTGATCAGAGGTCTGGTCACGATTTACGGACGGAAGATCGAGCCTACACTATTCTTTGATCGACATGAGTTGAACAGAACAGAAAATAAAATGTATAAATTAACCCTTTAAGGGCGGCGGCTTAATTTTGGTGAAGGGCTCTTGATATGTGGTGCTGAATCTACCCTCCCATTCCTCGGATCAAACAAGACTGCCCCTCATCAGCACTTCCCCAGGTTTCTGTTCACCTTTAAAAACATATGTTTCAACTAATTTGGGGGGGGGGGTGAATTCAAATTTAAACTTAGTGTTGCTTCATCACGTACAGTTTCTGTGAGATAGAACCCCACACTCATCTCAGTTTCTTTTCAACTACATTGTTGTCTACCGAATGCTTGGCTATTGTATGGACGATGATTCATGGTTTTGCTTGATTTTTTGTGGATTTATGAGATTTTTTCATTAATGGATTGTACATTTTCTCTTTTTCAAAGTGGTACTTTCAACTGGTAAGTTATAAGCCTATAATACCTCGTGGTTGTTTAAACAACAGTAACGTTTTCTGTTATGTATGTGTGGCAGCTTAACTCCTACAAAGCAAAGACAAAATAACACAGCTTGTTTTCACTACTTTGGTGTGAAAGTTGGAGATGAGGACAAGCTATGGACATCTCATCGCTGTTATGTGACTTGTTCCAACTTCTTTTGCGAGTATTTACTGGAAGGAAGTGCTTGCATACCACGGATTATTATTTCTGTATCGGATTTTTCATATCAGAACAATACCAGAATAACATATCCAAATTTTTCTTCTGCAATCAGACCGATGCAACATTCAGAGTATCTCCCATTTCCCGTACCATAATTCTGTAAAGATATATTTCAACTGGATGATGAAGAACAACCATTAATTCTGATTCCAAGCTTAAACAAGCTGGAGTTAACAACTGGAACCACATCTAGTGACTGGAAGTGACCTTAACAATCTTGTGCACACTCTTAATTCGTCCCAGGAGCAATCAGAGCTACTTGGTTTAAGATTATGTCAGTTTAATTTACTGCACCCAGACTCACGAGTCAGTTTGTTCAGAAAGTGACGGAAAAGACTAAAAACTTACTTAAATTGGAAGAATCAGTATGTTATTGTTGTGATGTTAATGGACTTTTCGATGCTGCAATTTTGCGTTCGTTTATTGAGTCCAGCAAAATAAATGTGAGGGCAATTTTACTTCACACTGACAATACCCTGCCAAGTCTGCCGTTAGTTCTCGTTAGAGACTTGAAAGAAATATATAAAACAATGTAAAAACTTGTCATTCTCATCAAATATTAGAAGTTTAGGAGGAAAATCTATGGTGACCTAAAATACGTTTGTTACTGGCACTGCAAAGTGGATTTACGAAGTACTGGTGTTTCCTATGCTTTGAGACAGTGAAGATACAGAGTAACACTACATTCAACGTACGTGGCCAACTCGCGAATCGCATGAGGCAGGAGTGAAGAACCTTCAACACACACCATTAGTAACTCCAAAGGACATACTTTCCCCTTGCACATCAAGCTAGGCCTAATTAAAAACCTCGTCAAAGCTTTGGACATAGAAGGTGAAGTGTTTGCCTATCTGAAAGAGAGGTTTCCCAAAGTTAGTGACATCAAGTTATTAAGTCACTAAATTATCCTTCATTTTGACGGAAGTCTCCCAGATGCTGAGTTGAGAGCATGAGTGGCATTCAGGAACACTTACGCAGGTTTTTTTAGGAAATCATCACAGTGATGATCACAGAAATGTTGTAGAAGAGCTATTGACAATACATAATCTACTGATAATCTACTGAGTTGTCGGATGATCCTTAATATTCATATCCTCCAGTTTCACCTAGACTTTTTTTTTCCCCACCGAACGCTGGTCACATTAGTAACGAACATTGTGAACAATTTCACCAACACACAGCCATCATGAGTAGGAGATATCAGGAAAAACTGACAACCAGTTTGATGGCTTCCAACTGCTGGACGCTGGTGCGGGAGAACCTTATGGAAATTTATGTTTATATATATACACACATACATACATATATATACATATATACATATATACATACATACATAAAGAAAGATTAGTTCTTATCATTGCATTCAACCCACTTAGTGTGCATCTATAATTGTCAGGTAACATACACATTTACTATATAAAATTATTATAACCATAACCATGATTTTTAAAAGGGACCGGTAAGCTGCGGAAGTGCTCGGTCAGATGACCAAAAGCTCCAGCTGTAGGTCATCTTGTGACTAAGATCCGCGTCAGGTAACACTTGTTCTGTTTCCTGACAAACATTATTCCTATAACTTTCACATTTTAAAAACACACGTTAATGATCAGCTCATCAAAATTAGCTTAAGGCAACTAATTTGGTGTGTGAACTTCATAATAAGTTATATTCTGTAGACTAGTGAGTGTGATGTGACGTTGTGTGATGTGACGTTGTGTGATGTGACGTTGTGTTTGTGTGTGGCCATGCAGCCAGGCTTGAGGTCGCTCTGTGTATGTTATTGTCCACACAACCTGACACGGTACGTGACACCACCTGACACGGTACGTGACACCACCTGACACGGTACGTGACACCACCTGACACGGTACGTGACACCACCTGACACGGTACGTGACACCACCTGACACGGTACGTGACACCACCTGACACGGTAGTGACACCACCTGAACGGTACGTGACACACTGACACGGTACGTGACACCACCGACACGGTACGTGACACCACTGACGGTACGTGCACATCCACTGACACGGTACGTGACATCACCTGACACTGTACGTGATATCACCTTACACGGTACGTGATACCACCTGACACGGTACGTGACATCACCTGACACGGTACGTGACCACCTGACACGTACGTGACACCACCTGACACGGTACGTGACACACCTGACACGGTACGTGACACCACTGACACGGTACGTGACACCACCTGACACGGTACGTGACCACCTGACACGGTACGTGACACCAACCTGACACGGTACGTGACACACCTGACACGGTACGTGACACCACCTGACACGGTACGTGACACACTGACACGGTACGTGACACCACCTGACACGGTACGTGACACCACCTGACACGGTACGTGACATCACCTGACACTGTACGTGATATCACCTTACACGGTAGTGAACCACCTGACACGGTACTGACATCACCTGACACGGTACGTGCACCACTGACACGGTACGTGACACCACCTGAACGTACGTGAACCACCTGACACGGTACGTGATACACTTGACACGGTACGTGACACACCTGGACACGGTACGTGACATCACCTGACGTGGTACGTGGACACACCTGACACGGTACGTGGACATACCTGACACGGTACGTGAACCACTTGACACTGGTAGTGTCCACACCACCTGACACGGTACGTGACACCACCTGACACGGTACGTGACACCACCTGACACGGTACGTGACACCACCTGACACGGTACGTGACACCACCTGACACGGTACGTGACACACCTGACACTGTACGTAATATCACCTGACACTGTACGTGATATCACCTGACACGGTACGTGATACCACCTGACACGGTACGTGACACCACCTGACACGGTACGTGACACCACCTGACACGGTACGTGACACCACCTGACACTGTACGTGATATCACCTGACACTGTACGTGATATCACCTGACACGGTACGTGATACCACCTGACACGGTACGTGACATCACCTGACACGGTACGTGACATCACCTGACATGGTACGTGACATCACATGACACGGTACGTGACATCACCTGATACGGTACGTGACACCACCTGACATGGTACGTGACATCACCTGACACGGTACGTGACATCACCTGATACGGTACGTGATACCACCTGACATGGTACGTGACATCACCTGACACGGTACGTGAACCACTACACGTACGTGACACCACCTGACACGGTGCGTGACATCACCTGACACGGTACGTGACATCACCTGACATGGTACGTGACATCACCTGACACGGTACGTGACACCACCTGACACGGTACGTGACATCAGCTGACACGGTACATGACACCACCTCTCACGGTACGTGACATCACCTGACAGTACGTGACACCACCTGACACGGTACATGACACCACCTGACACGGTACGTGACACCACCTGACACGGTACGTGACATCACCTGACACGGTACGTGACATCACCTGACATGGTACGTGACATCACTTGACACGGTACGTGACATCACCTGATAGGGTACGTGATACCACCTGACATGGTACGTGACATCACCTGACACGGTACGTGACACTACCTGACACGGTACGTGAC